CCTGGGGACACACCAAGAAATATTTTCCTCCAATATATTTGTGATTTGTGTTCACACAACCACTTCGTATTTCACATTTCAAATACAAATCATGACTACATAATCCTATACTATATAAAATGGGGAATTTCTCTCATATCCTCTTCCACTAAAGGATATCTAGAACAGCGGTCAGCAACTGGTGGTCCATGGACAACTGGTGGTTCATGAGAAAATTTTGGTGGCCTGCAGAAAAATTATTTGCATTTTTTATATTGCACTAAATCAGGGGTCCTGAAACTATGGCAGCCTGGGCTGGATACGTGCAATGAACATTTGTGTTGCTGCAGAGAGTCTCCCTCTTCGGGGTCTTTTTGTCCAGGGGCAGAGGGGGGCAGAAATTCCAATCTGGGGCCTGCTTCTGCCTCCTGATGTGGGGCTTTGGGCGAAGGCTGGAGAGAAGCGCCACTGGTGGTGAAGAATTGGAGTGTCTTGTACCAGTGGGACTGCATCATGGCCTGGAACTGGCTGACCATCTCAGCGTGCTGAGCCTCCAGGAGCCAGTACCTAGCCTTGCACTCCCGCAGGTCTTCCCTCTGCTTGGAAAGCCTATGCTCATAGTCCTCCATAAGGTGGTTCTGCTGAGCTTCCTTCTTGGTCAGATCCAATTTGAATTGAGCCAGCTGTTTTGCCAACTCTTTCTCATGGTGGTTGCTTAACTCCAACAACTGCTTTTTGTTGGGACCCCAAGGAGCCTGGGTGGGGAGGCAAGGAGTGGCTGTCAGGGGTGGGGTAAATAGAGGCTGGTGAGGCACCCCTCGACATGAGTAATATTGAGTTGGCCATGCCCACCCAGTCACATGACTACCTAGCCATGCTCACCCAGCCAGTCATTAGGCAGGTCATATTAGTGGTCCACGGTATTTAAAATTATGAATTTAGTGGTCCCTGAGGTCCAAAATGTTGCTGACTCTTGGTCTAGAAAGAGTATTTTGACTAACATTAGGCCTTTCCTAAGCTATGCAACTTTGGACAATAATTATTCATATCCCCCAAATACATTGGTCACCAAACTGATGCACATTTAGATTGAGATGGCAAGGAAGCACACATATTCTCATTCCCTTGATGAAATACAACTGAATCCTACTTGATCCTCAATGCCTTCCCTGCACCCTGTGACTCACAGATGCCTGTGCAACAAGCAGGCAAGTGTTCACTCACCATCAGACTTCCACTAATGAAGACTATACCTTGATGCCACTGGCACTTCCTCTATATATTCCTCAATAGTCTGTTTGGGCAGATTACTGGTGAAATTAGGTTCAAGTAATATATTCAAGTAAGAGGAAAAAACCTGGAAATGACCAATATGCAAATAAACATTTGCCCTGGCTTGACTTCTTGGCCAACATAAAGCAGATGTTGAAGGAGAATCTGCAGATGAAATCTTTTTTTCTGAAGCAAGGAATTATATTTGAATCAACTAACTACATAGCTTGTTTGCATAAACCGAGCTAATCTTGGCAGGATCTATATTTCTGAAATATATTTCTGCTGGATACATCCTAATAAAACAGGACAATAATCCCCAACTAAAAGCACAGTTGTTCCCTGCATTTGCTGCTAAGCTAATACAATATGCTCTACTAACGCAGCATAGTAGGCTTCAAATAATTGACAACGAACAGAATGTAACTTGCAAGAACAAAAATAACCTACAAAGGTTGAGAACATAAATAAAAATAGTTTCATCATTTTATATTCAAGTACAAATGAAAAACCACTATAAAAATCTATTTACATATGGTTTCTAAAAACTATATTTCTTAGGATGGAAGACACAACTTGATCTAGTCAGTCCCCAAATATATTGCCAGTCTTTAGTCTGAATTTATTACTCATGGCTATTTATTCATTTATCAATCTTATTATTGACTTTTTTCAGCAGGTAGTTTGCAGAAATATGCTCTTTTCAATTATCAATTATTTGTTATGTGTTGCCACCCCAGCTTTCTTATTTTTATAAAGTTTTATAAACTTATAAAGTTGTCTTTAAAACAACTTCAATTGAATTTAATAAACTCTGATGGCCAGGTTCTTTGAGGAAGAACTCAAGACATATTGTTAAAACAGATGCAATTCCAAAGAAATACAAGAAGAATAAATACCAAGCCAATAACTAAGTTCTATTTCAGAAGCTTCTGCAGAAAACTGAGATTATATCAAAATAACAGCACATGTAAGGTGATATCATAATAAAAATTCTGTCCTTACATGTAAGCAACTTCTGATGCAAGTTGCAGCTTTTGTGGTTACTGTAATCACATATATTTTATCATTTCATTTCTTTGGAACTCAATGTTGTAATTACAAGTGAATAACCCTGAAAAATCTGAGGGAGAAAAAAACACCTTATCTTACCACTTTTTCCTTATAAACAATGTACTTCAGCCACTTGAAATCCTGCCACTTGAATCCTGCCAGTACAAACAGGGAATCCTTCTCATACTGCTCCGATTTCTGGATAGCCCCTTCCGGATATGTTATCCGCATTGTTGTCTTGCCACCAACATCTTTTTCAAAGCCTTTCACTGGAGCAGAATTCAGCCTTCCGGGAGATAAGAGAAAAATTATGAACTGTATTTATACTAGAGTCAATGGTGGGTTTGTACCGGTTTTACTACTGGTTCGCTCTTGCATGCTTGTGCGCTCTCTCTCTCATACAACACTTTTGCACATGCGCAGAAGTGTCTGGGTGGGTGGGTGGGCAGAGTCTCCCGCAGCCACCACCACCGGTTCGGCCGAACTAGGCCGAAACAGGAGGAATCCACCTTTGACTAGAGTTCTAATTTTTGTGTAGCAAAAATCAATGTCAGGAACTCCACTACAGTAAAAATTGCAAAGGCATCACACTCAAATTATTGAGGATTGTTACTGCCAATAAAGCAGTAAGTAAAGCAAAAAACAGAACTGCCTGATACTGCCATTAGTTTACACTATAAATGGCCTATTCTTTGGAGGCAAGATATGTGATTATATGTTGTATGGAGAAAGAATTACCGGTAATATTGGCAAAATAAATTTATTTTTTATTTATTTATATTTTACATTTTTGAACTGCCATCCCACTCAAAGAGGGAATCTGGGCAGTGTATAATAAAACCTCAAAAGAATTAAAATGTTAGAATTAAAAATTTAAAGCAGTATAAAATTTTTAAGGAGGCAAGTACAATTAAACCCTGTTAAAATCATGTTATTTCATGAGTTTTCAATTAAACCAGGGAAGAAGCAAAAATTCCTTTAGCAACTCGATACTTCCCATACTTCCCAGCTATTACTACTAATAAAACTTGAGAAAAATACTTATTTAAAGATATCAGGCACACTATTTTTAATTATGTTATACAAAGGAATTCCTAGAGTCATTCTCATTCCTTCAAACTTTTTTATAACATAGAAGTTGCTGCTAAGTTGCTGTCTGTACTAAGTTTGTAGTGTTACAATTTAATCAAAGTTTTTCACAGAATTGCAAATGTGTTAATTAGAAGTAGTACAGTGTTCAAGTAAATATTGTAACAAATGATGATTTAAAATGAGAGATAAAGTACTTCAGAGTTATTCTTTCAAAAATACATTTCTTATGATCCAGGGGTTTTGCTGGGGGTTTGCAGGGGTTCGGGAGAACCACCAGCTAAGATTCTATGCAGTTCGGAGAACCCCCCAATCCCACTTCTGGCTGGCCCCGCCCACTTTGCCCCTCTCCACCCAGGAATCCTCATGTGGCCCATTTTGGATGCAGGTATGTGCAGGGTGCACACAGAGGCTCAGGGAAGGCAAAAAACAGGCCTACCGGAAGTTCGGGAAGGCCGTAAATGGATCCATTTCCAGCCTCCAGAGGGCCTCCAGAACATGGGGAGACCATTTTTGCTCTCCCGGAGGCTCAGGGAAAGCCTCCGGAGCCTGGAGAGAGCAGAAATGCCCACCACCCCCCTGGCATGGTGCAAGTGGCTGACTATGGCCATGCCCACCCAGCAACCGGGCAGAGAACCCCTTGCTAAAAATTTTGAAGCCCACACCTGTTCTTATCATTATTCCGTAATGAGATCAAAATCATGGTTATATCAACTGAAACATTCCTCAGAGGAATGTTTCTAATTAGAATCTATCTAATTCATGAAGACTTAAGTCTCCTATAATAAGAGACAATTTATGTGATTTTACTTTAGGCATGAAAGCTGGCTTTCATTAGACTAGTGTCTCTCTCTCTCAACCCAACTCATCTCACAGGATTATTGTTGTGGGGGAAATAGGAGGAGGAAGGAATATTAAGTATGTTCACCTCCTTGAGTTATTGAAAATAATAAAGGTGGGATATCAATAAATAAATAAATACAGTTGAATTAATCTATTTGGGCAGTTCTATAATTGTCATGTCAAATATTATATTCTCAGCACAGTGATTTAAAATGTCTTTTGTGTGAATTTTGAAATTATGAAAACAAAGTTCCTGGAGTTTCTAAGCCACTACTGACACCATCTTACAGGAGAGCAATAGACTGCCAAATGGTAGTATACTATACTGGCTGACTGTTGGCTCTGTTTTAAGAACAAATATTTAAATATAACACTTAAACAAACAACTTTTATGGACTTTAAAAAGGAACTCAGTTCTCTTTATGCATTTGATGTAGAATATTTATTAAATTATACAAGAATAAAATGGCAGGAATGACTGTATTATTTGACAGATTATAAATTTCTTACAATGAAACAACTGCAATCAAGTGGTATTATTTCTACTGACAGAGACAACAAAGATTCAACTTGTAATAATCCATATTCCATAAATAGGGAAAAGGGCAGTTAATAAATAGGAGAAACACACAATAAAATGCTTCCCATTTTATTCTAAATTCCAGACTCAAATGTAATCATGGATTGGTTTTTTCCTAAAATAATGAATTATCGGTCTGTCTAATCACTCAACTGCATCTTTCTCTTTCTAAGAAATAAAGGCATATTATTAAATCCATGAAACAAGAAGCATTCTTGGTCCAGATGGCTATTCCATAGACTGGTACAAGAAACATATTGATTTGTATGAGTGAGTGGATATTGTTCCAGTGCTACTGGAAATTTATAATTAAGCTTCTCTAAATTATCTCCTTCTTAGAAGCCTATGTTATTGGGTCCTTTCTTCAAGTTAGCATCCAATTTCTTTGTTAACCTTATTTATTGCATTAGTTGTTCATAAACTATAAACTTGTTAACCTTGAATTAATTATTGCATTAGTTGTTCATAAACTAAAAAATATTACCACAAATTATTCAACCCATACAATGTAGATTTCTAAAAAGTTATCAAGGATCTGGTAATATTAGATTGTTAAATAAAATAATTAAAAGTTTAATTAAATAGTAAGAAATTCTACAACCAGTAGCAGAGATACACTGATGTACTACATTGGAAAGTTCTGAAAGAGGTTTGTCTATATACAGATTTGTGAAAGTTTTTATTAACTACATTAATGTGAGGTATTCTACACCTCCTACTAGGTTACTACAAATTGACATTTTTCTTAATCTATTTTGTGGTGCTTGTTGGGAATATCTCCTCTTTAACTTGACACTAGAATTACTGGCCTGTCTCATTGTATAAACAGATGGCATTTTAAATTTAGCTATGGCTGGAACTGAACATAAACTGCTGTTAACCTATGATATATATATATATATTATGTTTTATTGTTAATTATGCATTTTATATACAAAAACTTACTGAGGCTGTCCAACAGTTCAAGAAATTGAATTGAATTTGAATTTGAATTTGTTTATTTATAGGCCGCCCTTTTCCCTGAGGGGACTCAGGGCGGCTTACAATCACAAAGGGAAAGGAAGTG